AATACATGAAACCATCTCCAGTAGGCTAATCTTTGAGTGAGAACTGTATTACTGTACTGTATTGTATTATAGTGTTTTATATGGACTGGAATTACGCACATCGTTCAAACCATGATAAAGCAGAAGAGAACATGTAATTCTGGTGCAGCACATGCGGCCTACAAAGTTACAAATATAGGCTAGCGAATTTGATTTTAATTTGGAAATATAATATTTCCTATTTGTATAATTAGTAGGGTGACGCATATATACCCTTCACAATATTTCCCCTAATGTTATTAGCCTACCTCTTTCCCTCTATTGTTGCTTCATTCCTTCGTCACGTTCAACAGTTAAATGAAATAAGTTGTTTCTCTTATCTTCACCATTAGATGCAAAAGGCTTTCACTTCTCTTCACGAAGATTGAATGGCTATGGGTCTGAATAAATAATTGCTATTCCCTACGATCATCACGTGTTCGCTCTTCTTTCACACTACCTGTGAGGTCTATTGGCTGCTGTATTTAACATTCAGCAAACAAGAGCTTGCGTCCCTCTTCTAATAGTCTATTGGTATAAGAAATGCTAAAAAACAAACATTATGTCCAGCAAGCTATTCTAGTCTAGCTTTTCCTGCATGGGACTCCAAGAGCTAAGGATCGTTTTTTAAGGAGAGAGGCCTGCGGAGCACAGGTGCGTGCGTATTGTGCAAGAGACAGAGGCTATACTGTAAGTTAGAAGCTTATTATGCATAACCCATAATTAATTAGCTAAATATAAGCTAAATACTGCATTGAATTTATTACCTGAAAGAGGTAGGCTAGGACATCTATATATAGGCCTATATAGCAATCTAGAACAGGATTATCTATTTTGGATTCAATTTGAATGGAGTTGATGGAGAGAGAGCGACTGCGAGAGAGTGCTCAAGCGTGCACTGAATTAAAGCAACAATATTCGAGTGACAGGCTGTTTTTAAAACTCTGCAGCTGCAATTTAAAAAAAAATCTCTTTACAATAAAAAAATAAGGTGACCCCTGAAAGCCAGATAGAGATGGGTAAATTAGACGCGCATTCAGTCATTATATTACTGTAGCATAGACTATACTGCAGCAAATGCAGGCCTACCTGTCACAATAAATAAAGTCACCATGATGCATTGTGAACTGCGCTCCATACTGAGATGGGCTGTCTGTTGCCACTCTGAGCTTTGATGATTCATCATGCAGAGGCCGTAGAGAAGCCAGATTTAGACATTGCATATAATTTAACAGTTCCATTTCACGCCATGCTGTTCATATAAATACATTTATTATCATTTACCGGTTTCTCGTAGCTATTTATCCCGGGAAAAGAGAGTGGTTTTGGGCGGTAAATCCCGGTAAATCTCGGTAACCGGGTTCCACCATTCAACCCTAGGCCTTACTGAAGAGCTCTGTGACTTTCAATGTGGCACCGTCATAGGATGCCACCTTTCCAATAAGTCAGTTCGTCAAATTTATGCCCTGCTAGAGCTGCCCCGGTCAACTGTATGTGCTGTTATTGTGAAGTGGAAATCTCTAGGAGCAACAATGGCTCAGCTGCGAAGTGGTAGGCCACACAAGCTCACAGAACGGGACCACCGAGTGCTGAAGCTCATAAAAAATTGTCTGTCCTCGGTTGCAACACTCACTACAGAGTTCCAAAATGCCTCTGGAAGCAACGTCAGCACAATAACTATTCGTTGGGAGCTTCATGAAATGGGTTTCCATGGCCGAGCAGCCGCACACACAAATGCCTAAGATCACCATGCGCAATGCCAAGCATCAGCTGGAGTGGTGTAAAGCCCACCGCCATTGGACTCCGGAGCAGCGGAAACGCGTTCTCTTGAGTGATGAATCACGCTTCACCATCTGGCAGTCTGACAGACGAATCTGGGTTTGGCAGATGCCAGGAGAACGATACCTGCCCGAATGCATAGTGCCAACTGTAAAGTTTGGTGGAGGAGGAATAATGGTCTGGGGCTGTTTTTCATATTTCGGGGTAGGCCCCTTAGTTCCAGTGAAGGGAAATCATAACGCTACAGCATACAATGCCATTCTAGATCAAGGGGAGGCAAAGTACGGCCCGCGGCCCGCCGGGCACTTCAATCCGGCCCGCAATACATTTTTTAAATGTATTAAATATGATTATATTTTAGTTACGATTTTTGGCCTAAAATTACTCATTTCATGATATACAAACAACCTCCAATAGATGGCACTGTAGCCTAGCGGCGTGCTCTGTATTTGGGCTTACAGTCAGATTCAGAATGCGCTCAGTCATCATAGCCACTTCATTGCTTGACGACTTTTGACGTGAAAAATGAGTGCTGAGAAAATGAGAAAAGTGGACTCTGAATGTCTTGTGTTTAAAGAAGAATGGACAGCAAGAAAGTGTTGCCGTTTTTAAGGAATATAATCTCAATCGTCATTTTTCAAGCAAGCATGCTATAAGTGTGTTAAAGCTGGAAAATGTTGTCAAAGTGATTGTAAAACTTGTCAACTTTATATGGGCAAGGGGGCTTAACCATCATCAGTTCATTCAGCTGCTCAATGACACAGAGGCAGAGCATCAGGACTTGTTGTACCATTCAAATGTGCGCTGGCTAAGCCTGGGAAAAGTATTAGGTATGTTCCTTGATAGGTATGTTCCTTGATAGGGTTGGTAAAGCTAATGACTTCTCCGAGTTGAAAGACACAGACTGGCTGGGCGACTTTGCTTTCGGTGTGGACATATTGGGGCATCTGAACGGTCTAAATGTGAAACTGCAAGGAAATTGTGTTTTTGTGCATGAACTGTATTCCAACGTGAAAGCATTCAAGGCCAAACTTATGTTGTTCTCCAGACAAATGAGAAGCCGGTCTCTTGCTCATTTTCCAACACTGGCCACACTGAAGGCGCCCACATCGCAGTACCGCACTGAGACATACAGTAGCACTTTGATCGACCTGTATGCTGAGTTTTCCCGCTGCTTCTCAGACTTCACCAAGATTGAGACTGAGCTGGAGCTTGTATCATGCCCCCTGTCTTTCGACAGTGAGAAAGCACCACCAGACACACAATTGGAGCTCATCGACATTGAAGGAGAAGTACAAAACAGCAACAATAGACCAGTTCTATGGCTCACTGAATGAAACAAAGTTTCCAAACATTAAAAAGCACACCCAAAGGATGTTTGTTTTATTCGGGTCCACATATGTGTGCGAACAAACGTTCTCAGTCATGAATTACAACAAATCCCGTCACAGGTCAAATTTAACAAATGACCACTTGTCAGCTGTTCTGAGAATCCCTACATCAAAGATGACACCAGACTTTGATGCCCTTGCCAAGAGAGGTGACCAGACCCATTGTTCACATTAAGACTCGAATAACGGTCTGGAGTAGGCAAGGATTATGCTTTTTCATGGTGACTGTTATGCAGTGAGAATTATCCAGCAATGCACTTGGATACAGGTAATAACTAATCTGTCAGATTTAGGCTGAGGAGATTGGATAACTGTAAATATGGCTCACAATGGAGATGAAAATTGTTCCTTAATATGCTTTAAAAAAACAGACCATTCCAAACGGATGCTCTTGCCATATGTTTCACTCAAATTTTAGAATAGTTTTTTTGCTGTTTTTTTGCTGTTACATTTTGCATGTCTCCAGTCATATCATATCATATAATATATATATATATATATATATATATATATATATATATATATATATATTTAAGTTTGCATATTGTGACTGTAAGTTTGATTGTACTTTACAAGGGTAGAGATGCAGGATCTGTGTGTGTTTGACTGTGTCTGTGATGTTATAAATTATATCAATTTGGTGAAAAATGTGTGGAAAATGTGTTCACAAAAAATAAGGGTAGAGATGGTACAAGGGTAGAATTGTTCTGCAAGCATATGTACACCTACAGTACACTCGTAGTTGCGTGTCAATGTGAAAATGAGTAAAGGCGTATTTTGTCACGCATATAGTATGTGGCCCTTCACTTGGTTTCAAAAACTCAATGTGGCCCTTGAGCCAAAAGGTTTGCCCACCCCTGGTCTAGATGATTCTGTGCTTCCAACTTTTTGACAACAGTTTGGGGAAGGCCCTTTCCTGTTTCAGCATGGCAATGCCCCCATGCACACAAAGCGAGGTCCATACAGAAATGGTTTGTCGAGATCGGTGTGGAAGAACTTGACTGGCCTGCACAGAGCCCTGACCTCAACCCCATCGAACACCTTTGGGATGAATTGGAACGCCGACTGCGAGCCAGGCCTAATCGCCCAACATCAGTGCCCGACCTCACTAATGCTCTTGTGGCTGAATGGAAGCAAGTCCCCACAGCAATGTTCCAACATCTAGTGGAAAGCCTTCCAAGAACAGTGGAGGCTGCTATAGCAGCAAAGGGGGGACCAACTCCATATTAATGCCCATGATTTTGGAATGAGATGTGTATGATTTTCTTCCCTCTGCAATAAAAGGGTGCCATATTCCACGCTAGATGAAGGTCACCAGAGGCAGACAAGGAAAACTGTTCTCACCAGGTGGCTACACAAGACCTATTTACTGTTACAGTGTGAAGCAGCAGGGTCATGCTGACATGACGCAAGCCTGGGCCTGCTAGTCTGCAGGCACAACAAACACAGGCTAACACAGCTAAGCAGCTGCACTGCTGCTGGACTGGGACTGGCATGTCAATGTGAGAGAAAAGAGAACCGCTGACCTGAGCAAAGCAGACACACCTGACACTGGTGTTTGTTGCCGTTTGTTGGGGTGGTGTTCAGGAAACCTTATACCCTTTAGACACAATCGTGCCAACCCAAACTGAACTGTGCTGGCATGGATATTTTTTGTTCACATTGTCCTTTACAACATGTTTCCAGCAACTATTATAGTGGATGTGTGACCAGGCTGGTGCAGTGCAGCTTGGCTCAGTAAAGTACTACAGTAGACTGTTAATGGACTCACCTGATCACAATGCATTGGTTTCGGGGTCCTGTGGCCAACCGTCCCAGCATGGACTGGTAGGCCCTGTCTGCCACAGCAAATATGTGAGGAGGTAGCTTGGTCTTCTCATGGTACTTATAGCTCTCTGATACCTGAACAGATACAATGAGGAACATCTCTAAAGCTACTGTCTACAAACAAACAGTTTAGTCGATTTTTCTAAAGATGACTGGTAAGTTATGTCGGTTAAGTCCGTAAGGCAAGCTTAAGTGCTTGGTGGAGCTTTTCTAAAGTCCAAAAAACAATGCAGTTTCAGTGTCCAGTTCTATTCCAAGAAAACAAGTTCTATTCTGGGTTGAAGTGACTGTATTAATTTTGATTTGCCAACTTTTATGTTTGCCAGGTCATAGTGAGTCATTGGATAGCTAGGGCAGCTTTTAAGTCTGCCAGCACAGCTGAATGCTTATTTGTCTTGTGGGAGTACTTACCTCTTTCTCATAGAGAGGAAGATATTTAAATGGATTTATGGCCACCAAGATGTCCCCAATGTAGGTCTGGTAGAGATAGGCAGGGGAAGAAAGAGAGAGTGTGAGAGATTTTACCATCAATGACGAGGTTAAACTGGTTTACAAGTGTTTTCTTTTCAAACAGAATCAAAACAAATTTTATTTGCCACATGCGGCGAAAACAACAGGTGTAGACCTTACAGTGAAATGCTTACTTACAAGCCCTTAACCAACAATGCAGAAGAAAAATAAGTGGAGTAAAAAATTGATAAGTAAAAAATAAAATAATTAATAATTAAAGAGCAGCAGTAAAATAAAATAACAGTAGGGAGGCTTCAGTGAGGGAAAAAAGTATTTGATCCCCTGCTGATTTTGTACGTTTGCCCACTGACAAAGAAATGATCAGTCTATAATTTTAATGGTAGGTTTATTTGAACAGTGAGAGACAGAATAACAACAACGAAATCCAGAAAAACGCATGTCAAAAATGTTATAAATTGATTTGCATTTTAATGAGGGAAATAAGTATTTAACCCCCTCTCAATCAGAAAGATTTCTGGCTCCCAGGTGTCTTTTATACAGGTAACGAGCTGAGATTAGGAGCACACTCTTAAAGGGAGTGCTCCTAATATCAGCTTGTTACCTGTATAAAAGACCTGTCCACAGAAGCGATCAATCAATCAGATTCCAAACTCTCCACCATGGCCAAGACCAAAAAGCTCTCCAAGGATGTCAGGGACAAGATTGTAGACCTACACAAGGCTGGAATGGGCTACAAGACCATCGCCAAGCAGCTTGGTGAGAAGGTGACAACAGTTGGTGCGATTATTCGCAAGTGGAAGAAACACAAAATAACTGTCAATCTCCCTCGGCCTGGGGCTCCATGCAAGATCTCACCTCGTGGAGTTGCAATGATCATGAGAACGGTGAGGAATCAGCCCAGAACTACACGGGAGGATCTTGTCAATGATCTCAAGGCAGCTGGGACCATAGGCACCAAGAAAACAATTGGTAACACACTACGCCGTGAAGGACTGAAATCCTGCAGCGCCCGCAAGGTCCCCCTGCTCAAGAAAGCACATATACAGGGCCGTCTGATGTTTGCCAATGAACATCTGAATGATTCAGAGGAGAACTGGGTGAAAGTGTTGTGTTCAGATGAGACCAAAATCGAGCTCTTTGGCATCAACTTAACTCGCCGTGTTTGGAGGAGGAGGAATGCTGCCTATGACCCCAAGAACACCATCCCCACTGTCAAACATGGAGGCGGAAACATTATGCTTTGGGGGTGTTTTTCTGCTAAGGGGACAGGACAACTTCACCGCATCAAAGGGACGATGGACGGGGCCATGTACCGTCAAATCTTGGGTGAGAACCTCCTTCCATCAGCCAGGGCATTGAAAATGGGTCGTGGATGGGTATTCCAGCATGACAATGACCCAAAACACACGGCCAAGGCAACAAAGGAGTGGCTCAAGAAGAAGCACATTAAGGTCCTGGAGTGGCCTAGCCAGTCTCCAGACCTTAATCCCATAGAAAATCTATGGAGGGAGCTGAAGGTTCGAGTTGCCAAACGTCAGCCTCGAAACCTTAATGACTTGGAGAAGATCTGCAAAGAGGAGTGGAACAAAATCCCTCCTGAGATGTGTGCAAACCTGGTGGCCAACTACAAGAAACGTCTGACCTCTGTGATTGCCAACAAGGGTTATGCCACCAAGTACTAAGTCATGTTTTGCAGAGGGGTCAAATACTCATTTCCCTCATTAAAATGCAAATCAATTTTTTACATTTTTTACATGCGTTTTTCTGGATTTTGTTGTTGTTATTCTATCTCTCACTGTTCAAATAAACCTACCATTAAAATTATAGACTGATCATGTCTTTGTTAGTTGGCAAACGTACAAAATCAGTAGGGGATCAAATGCTTTTTTCCCCTCACTGTATATACAGGGGGTACCGGTACAGAGTCAATGTGCGGGGGCCTAGGTTAGTCGAGGTAATTGAGGTAATATGTACATGTAGGTAGAGTTAAAGTGACAATGCATAGATAATAAACAGAGAGTAGCAGCAGTGTAAAAGAGGGGGTGGGGTGGGGGGGACAATGCAAATAGTCCGGGTAGCCATGATTAGCTGTTCAGGAGTCTTATGGCTTGGGGGTAGAAGTTGTTAAGAAGCCTTTTGGACCTAGACTTGGCGCTCCGGTACCGCTTGCCGTGCGGCAGCAGAGAGAACAGTCTATGACTAGGGTGGCTGAAGTCTGACAATTTTTAGGGCCTTCCTCTGACACCACCTGGTATAGAGGTCCTGGATGGCAGGAAGCTTGGCCCCAGTGATGTACTGGGCTGTACGCACTACCCTCTGTAGTGCCTTGCGGTCGGAGGCCGAGCAGTTGCCATACCAGGCGGTGATGCAACCAGTCAGGATGCTCTCGATGGTGTAGCTGTATAACTTTTTGAGGATCTAAGGACCCATGCCAAATCTTTTCAGTCTCCTGAGGGGGAATAGGCTTTGTCGTGCCCTCTTCACGACTGTCTTGGTGTGTTTGGACCATGATAGTTTGTTGGTGATGTGGACACCAAGGAACTTGAAGCTCTCAAACTGCTCCACTACAGCCCCGTCGATGAGAATGGGGGCGTGTTCAGTCCTATTTTTTTTCCTGTAGTCCACAATCGCCACATGGAGTGAACTCATGTTGTTAGCCTCCACTGTTAACGAAACCTCCCTCACAAATTAGCAGAGTAAACCTGTTTTTCTTACTTGGAAATGGAAACATCTTTAAAAAAAGAAATCTGGCAATTTTTATCGTAATCTACTCTTTAAACTATAAGCAAAACTGTGGAGATTGTATTATGAAGAGCTGAGGCTGACTGATTGTTTGGCCTCATTTATTCTAGAAGCAGTCATTAATTCATGTGTACTGTACTGTACATTCAAAGACAAACACCACTCCAGTGTCACTGCACAAAGGTCTTTGTTCTGACAGCCAACAATGACATGAATGAAAATGGCATGTTGATATATGACTGCATCAGTGGAGGCTGCTGAGGGGAGGACGGCTCATAATAATGGCTGGAATGGAGTACAATGGCTGGAATGGAGTGAATGGAATGGTATCAAAGTGTTTGATACCATTCCATCCCCTCTATTCCGGCCAATATTATGAGCCATCCTCCCCTCAGCAGCCTCCACTGGACTGCATATTTGTGTTGTTCATAGATCCCAACCCTTCAACATTGTTGAGTGTACTGCCTGTGTCAAGCAATAAAATAAATTGAAACAGATTTAGATAATCTATCTGTTCTGTCTGTATGTTGAGGTATTTGATTGGTTGGGATTTGTTGCTGAATAAGATACATGAAATTACAGGGATTTTTACAGAGTGCAGAGTCCCGTGTACACATGGGTGACGTGGTAGAATATGGGGGGGGATTGTACTTTCCAGGGATTGTACTGTAGTGTCAAAGTGATATAACCTGAAGCACAGCAATGGCCTCATCACAATAACAAAACAATATCAGTGTTTACATTTAATCATAGTTCAGATCCAATTTGTCCACCCATTACGTGGATATTTGTATCTTTTTCACAGCAGTCACATGCACATAAATCTCAATTTTTACTTACATAGATGCGATCTTGTTTGAACCGTTGACTCAGGGATTCCAACAAACTTTGTTCATCCAAATCTGACAAGGCTGCCAAATCATCGTGGAGGAGCACCTCCATGTCTTTCTAAATCGTGTTTATTCAATAAAACGTGGGTGGAATATTATATGTACTGGACAATTCTGAAGCTTGATAAAACCAACTGACTTCCGTGTTTTTCTGGCGTTTAAATCCAACCTATACTAAAAACGACAGGGTTGTGCCGTAAAAAATACAATAAAAACACTATGACAGCAGTGCACACAGCGTATCTGAGTTGAGTTTACTCTATTCCCAGGGGAGTACTGAAATTAAAAGGCTTGCAAAGCAAGGGTTCCCTCTCCCCTCCCTTTTATTAGAGAGAGAAGTTAACTCTTGCCTCTCCACACCCATGCTCCGCATGCGTCAGTCATCAGCATTAAAAGTGACTTTTTTATTATTTGAGATTTACTCAAATGCAGTCATGTAGTTTATATGTGATACCATACTGCATGGCAGTAGAGTTAACATGTTAGAATATCTGGATGTATTTCCAGATTAAATGTTTATAGATGATAATCATGTATGACCAAAGCTGCTTACAGCATTACATAACAACATTATATAAAATCTATATTCTCTCATATAACGAAAATGTCTATGTCACCTCCATTTTGTACATAGTAATTGCCATCGTGTGCACGTCACTGAGGACAAAGCAATGAAATTGTCCACTGAGGCAGAATGAACCTTGTATGGCTGGGGGATGAGGCTCAGTGAAACAGTTCATAGTGGGGGGTAGAAACACTTTAAAACATGGGCCACCACACCACCAGGGCCTCGATGAAACCTTTGAGCTGGGGAATATTGTCGGTGTTTGTATATTTAGAGACCTAAAGTACATATTTTGTTTAATCTGTCTATAATCTGCAAGGGATTTTTGGGAGCACAAAAATCGTAAATTGTATTTTTTTAGATTTCACGGAGAAAAACAATCACTGAAGCAAACTGAGGCAAACAGTTGACTTTTTCATATAATTTGCAAGAAAATGTCCATACCAAATGTTTGTTTGAAAAATAATGAATTTGAAACATGACATTGTAATGTGAACATGAATAATACAAATTTTAGACATACGATGCGGTATATTACCTGTAAAAAAAGGCAATATTTATATGACCCCCTTTCGAACAGAGCCTTATTTACCACTTTCTTGCAGGTATACCCGTTTTATAGATATCAGTGGGTAACTGGCAAATTGGGAGGTGTTGTTAAAACATGGGGGCTGTTTTCATTTCAAGTTAGGGAGGTGTTAAACAATGGAAAGGTTAATGAATTTACCTGTAAAAAAGCAGAGAACCATTCACACAGACCTGATACCTGTATTTTGGTTACAGGGTCTGTGAAAATGCAGGAATCATGACTAGGTCTTTAGGTGGCTTTTAATTTACCATGGTTTTTAACCCCCTACCGCTTTCAGATATACACAAAAGCTGATATAAAAAAAGCAGGCATGGTAAATTAGTGGGATTTTGGTCTGTGTATGAAAGGGATATGTGTGTAGATTTTCTTGAAAAAGAGAGTTGAACAGTTTACAATGTATGTATAATATAGACACTATTTTTTACATTGTAGAATAATAGTGAAAACATAAAAACGATGAAATAACACATCATGTAGTAACCACAAAAGTGTTAAACAAATCAAAATATATTTTTTATTTGAGATTCTTTAAATAGCCACCCATTGCCTTGATGACAGCTTTGCACACTCTTGGCATTCTATCAACCAGCTTCACCTAGAATGCTTTTCCAACAGTCTTGAAGGAGTTCCCACACATGCTTAGCACTTGTTGGCTGCTTTTCCTTCATTCTGCCGTCCGACTCATCCCAAACCATCTCAATTGGGTTGAGGTCGGGGGATTGTGGAGGCCAGGTCATCTGATGCAGCACTCTCCTTCTTGGTCAAATAGCCCTTACACAGCCTGGAGGTGTGTTGGGTCATTGCCTGTTGAATTTTTTTTTTAAAATAAATATATATATATATATATACACACACAGTGGGGAGAACAAGTATTTGATACACTGCCGATTTTGCAGGTTTTCCTACTTACAAAGCATGTAGAGGTCTGTCATTTTTATCATAGGTACACTTCAACTGTGAGAGACGGAATCTAAAACAAAAATCCAGAAAATCACATTGTATGATCTTTAAGTAATTAATTTGCATTTTATTGCATGACATAAGTATTTGATACATCAGAAAAGCAGAACTTAATATTTGTTATAGAAACCTTTGTTTGCAATTACAGAGATCATACGTTTCCTGTAGGTCTTGACCAGGTTTGCACACTGCAGCATGGATTTTAGTCCCACTCCTCCATAAAGACCTTCTCCAGATCCTTCAGGTTTCGGGGCTGTCGCTGGGCAATACGGACTATCAGCTCCCTCCAAAGATTTTCTATTGGGTTCAGGTCTGGAGACTGGCTAGGCCACTCCAGGACCTTGAGATGCTTCTTACGGAGCCACTCCTTAGTTGCCCTGGCTGTGTGTTTCGGGCCGTTGTCATGCTGGAAGACCCAGCCACGACCCATCTTCAATGCTCTTACTGAGGGAAGGAGGTTGTTGGCCAAGATCTCGCGATACATGGCCCCATCCATCCTCCCCTCAATACGGTGCAGTCGTCCTGTCCCCTTTGCAGAAAAGCATCCCCAAAGAATGATGTTTCCACCTCCATGCTTCACGGTTGGGATGGTGTTCTTGGGGTTGTACTCATCCTTCTTCTTCCTCCAAACACGGCGAGTGGAGTTTAGACCAAAAAGCTCTATTTTTGTCTCATCAGACCACATGACCTTCTCCCATTCCTCCTCTGGATCATCCAGATGGTCATTGGCAAACTTCAGACGGGACATGCGCTGGCTTGAGCAGGGGGACCTTGCGTGCACTGCAGGATTTTAATCCATGACGGCGTAGTGTGTTACTAATGGTTTTCTTTGAGACTGTGGTCCCAGCTCTCTTCAGGACATTGACCAGGTCCTGCCATGTAGTTCTGGGCTGATCCCTTACCTTCCTCATGATCATTGATGCCCCACGAGGTGAGATCTTGCATGGAGCCCCAGACCGAGGGTGATTGACCGTCATCTTGAACTTCTTCCATTTTCTAATAATTGCGCCAACAGTTGTTGCCTTCTCACCAAGCTGCTTGCCTATTGTCCTGTAGCCCATCCCAGCCTTGTGCAGGTCCAGAATTTTAACCCTGATGTCATTACACAGCTCTCTGGTCTTGGCCATTGTGGAGAGGTTGGAGTCTGTTTGATTGAGTGTGTGGACAGGTGTCTTTTATACAGGTAACGAGTTCAAACAGGTGCAGTTAATACAGGTAATGAGTGGAGAACAGGAGTGCTTCTTAAAGAAAAACTAACAGGTCTGTGAGAGCCGGAATTCTTACTGGTTGGTAGGTGATCAAATACTTATGTCATGCAATAAAATGCAAATTAATTACTTAAAAATCATACAATGTGATTTTCAGGATTTTTGTTTTAGATTCCGTCTCTCACAGTTGAAGTGTACAATAGCAGAGATCACTGCCACGGCGAACACAATTCCTCCTAAAATACCCATGATCAGTCCTGAGACAAGGGCAAACACAACAGACAGTTAGAAACAAAAATACAAAATAAACTCTTTCATAATGAAAATATAGGTCCATTACAAAGAGAATCATCAAGATAGTACCTCATTTGTTAGGTTCAACATGATCTCAAACTGTAGATAATTAACCCTACAAAAATGGCACAAAAGGTATTGATGTACCTGCATTAGTGGAACTCTCATCTGGGTTGGCTTCTGACTCTACAGCACCACCAAGCCGGCCGGCCTGCTTTGGTTGCAGAAGAAGAACGTCTCACATGAAAGGGACAAACAAACATACAGTAATATACTGTAGTTGTAATTAAGTGGTGGAGGAAGGACCTCTAGAGGACTAAAGAAGAACTGTCAAAACAATTGAAGTCAGCGGAGTGTCTGTTGTGCAGTGTAAGGAGGAATTGCACCTCAATGTCTAAAATGCCCTTCAGTGTCTACAAACTATTTTCATACACATTTCATACAGAAACATGCCTTTACACATGGCAGTAGAGAGAAATATAGAAATCTGTAGGTTCATTATATTGAAAATGATGTGTTGTTATCTTTGGGTGCATATTGTCATTACCTCAGACATAGAGGGAGAGATAAGAAATAGTGTCTTCACAACAATAAATAGTGAACTGACCCATGCATGAAGATATGGCAGTTACCCTCTTCTGCGTTATAGTAGTGCATCAGCAACAAGGTCACACACTGCGTCTGAGAGAGCAGAGAGAAAAGATTAGTGATAATAATGGGTTTGATGAACTTCTATGAACAGCTCAACAATTCTTCCTTAAATGGATGGATAATTTTGAGAGAGTAGTGTAGCATAATAATCAGATTAAAAGATTGCTGTGTATGCTATGTCTTTTTGCTTATTATATGGTTTGGTCAATATCTTGTCCTAATATGTGTTCATGAATCACTAACCATTATTATAAAATCCAATACACCAATGCAACACTGTACAGTTTGCATCTGTCATATAGACTTCCTGTTTGGTAGGCGTAGAGTCCTCTTTGAATCTACACCTAACAAAATGGCCGCCATACAGCAGCCGCTCTCTCTCCCCACTCTCTGTAGCAGCCTACCTGCAGATGGGTAGAGCTCGTCAAACTTGGCAGAGCAGGCCTCCATGCACTTCCTGTCTGTGTTGAAGCGGTTCTCATTCCCTTCCAGTCCTTTGTAGAAGAAAGGAAAGCAGATGCCTGCCCCCTCATCGTAGTAATACTGCAGTTTGGTGTTGTCTTCCTTTCCCTCGACTGGCTTCCCCTCGTCCATCTTACTACTGCAAAACAGTTCTGAGAGAAGAAGATCAGTGTTGTTGTTGTGCTGAACTACAGTTAGTTCAGCTAGTAATTGCAGTAGCTTGGTGGTAGTTTAACTAAATTCAAGTTGCAATTTTCAATAGTTAATTACTTTTTTTTGCCATGTAGTGGTGTAGTGAACTACTGGAACTACACAACTTGTAT